ATCGCATATCGCGTTATGCACATAGCGCATAGCGCATAGTGCATAGCGCGTAGCGTTTAGCGCATAACGCATATCGCTTATCGAAAAATCGAAACTCGAAACTCAAAAATCGCATATCGCGTTATGCACATAGCGCATAGCGCATAGCGCATAGCGCATAGCGCATAACGCATATCGCGTATCGCTTATCGAAAACTCGAAACTCGAAACTCGAAACTCGAAAATCGAAAATCGAAAATGGCATATCGCGTTATGCACATAGCGCATAGCGCATAGCGCATAGCGCATAGCGCATAGCGCATAGCGCGTATCGCTTATCGAAAAATCGAAACTCGAAACTCGAAAATCGCATATCTCGTTATGCAAATAGCGCATAGCGCATAGCGCATAACGCATATCGCTTATCGAAAACTCGAAAGTCGAAACTCGAAAATCGCATATCGCGATATGCAAATAGCGCATAGCGCATAGCGCATAACGCATATCGCTTATCGAAAACTCGTAAATCGAAAATCGCATATCGCGTTTTTTTTATAGGAAAAGCGGGCAAACGAGCAACTAATCGCTTAATATTAAGTAATCCGACGCCCATGAACATCCGCAATGCCAACGGTACTACAGTTGCGCTGCCGGCCTTTAAGGGAGGAGTACGCTCTGGATAGTAAATTGTATAAATTAAAGCAAAATTTGAAATTAACTCACGGCACGACGTTGGTGGTTTTTGCAGACGCGATGACAGATGACAGATTAAAAAGGCGGCCGCGACCGCTTCGATGAATTGACGACAAGAAGTTGTGTAAATGCTATCACTAGATGACGTTATAGGCAAACAAGTATAGAAGTAGAGATTCCGAGGAAATTTATACATTTCCTAGGATATCTCTGCATTTAATAGTTTTTCATACAATATTTTATACATTTCCTTTATAGTATCGGAATTGTACACGTTTCCTATTATTTGTATACAATTCCTTGATTCCTTACATTTCCGGTAAGATATAGGTCGTTCTGTATAATCGTTGTGATAACTTGGCGTTAGCGAACAACGACTATTTAGACCATTCCGAAGCATATACCATCAAGTATCATGTTGACGTACTAAGGGGGAAATAAAAATTAATACTTCTTAAGCCCTAAATTTTATTAACAAAAATGGTACAATCGTGGAATGCGGGATGTTTATATGCGGCTGACAATCCAAGAGCGGAAGGAGGTAACCCGTGCGTAGCCGGAAGGCATGCCCGCCTGGCACCCGCGCTGCGCCGTGAATGAGATCACTCCGATCTACGAACAGAAAGTACGTTATAACCTCATAGGCCAGTCGGTGTGATGTTAAAGACTGAGTATGGTACGGATTAGACGTGTGTATGTGGGAGAGAGAGAGAGAAGCGGGATGCACTAACGAGCTGGTTGTTGGCGACGAGCGGGCCTCCAGAGTCGCCGGGGCAGACGCCGCGGCCGCCGGCGCCACTGGTACACAGCGTGGAGGCGATGATAGCATTGGGGCCGTACGTCTGCGCACACACCGCGTTCGTGATCACCTGCACCTGCACGTGCGACAACCTCTGGTTGTTGCCGATCACTGCGTCTATGGACACACACATGTACACGTATTAGACAACGCAACTGACATTTCTGATAGATATAGAGTATTGTCAGCGAAGCTCACTGTTTCCTGTCCTGCCGAAGCCAGCGGCCCAAGCCCACGTGCCGGCGAACTGGTTGGTGCCCGACGCCAGTCCGATGTTGCGAATGTTATCTGCAAACAACAGAACAGTATCGTATATAAGTTCACTTAAACGCGGCGTATGAGGACGCGGGAACTAATCCGCACATAGGAATACACTCACTGCTGTAGCCGATGTGCCAGGTGGCGATGATGGCGACGTCGTTGTGCAGGGTGGCGGAGTTGTAGCTTCCGTGGATCTGCACGTTGTTGGTGTTAACGCGGGTGCCGCCGGAGAATAGGGTCGCGGAGCCTACAACGACGGTGACTTGGCGAGCATTGTTACGCCCGTCGAACCAGCAGTGCGCCGCCGTTACGAAGCGCGTGTTCGTCAACATAGTGGAGCCGCACACGGAAGTACGGCCGTCGTTCAGCGTCACCACGAGCCCGCCCTGCCATCACACACACACACACACATAAACATCATAAGTAAACAATTATTCACAAAGCCCGATACCGCTGCTCTTCCACATCTTTATTCGTGCATATACTCGTAGATGCATTTTAATGAATTTTAGTAGTATTACGCATACTGTATTACTACAACCAGCTTTAAATTTAATATTATACATGTATGTAGGTTAAGTTAAATCCCGAGGTGGGCAGGACTGTTGTACTTATTCGTAGTAGGTTTTTTTTAGAATCGGCTACCAGATATTTGTAATGGGATTATTGAACATATTAATTAAAAACCAGAACATGTCTCTTAAAATATGAATAATAATGTCTGTCAACATATGAATGTTCGTTGGCCGAGTAGCGAGGGGATATTGCGATGGGAGTGCATTCACCAGGTAGGGGTATGCGCCGAGGTTGGCTAGGGAGCCGCCGGCGATGCGCGAGCCGTCGAAGTCGGCCGCCTCCTCAGACTGGCGGATGAGCTCGGCCAGCGCCACTCCCGCGCTGTCGTGGTAGTACTGCAGGATGGGCTCCTCGGCCGCCGCCCGCGCGCTCAGCGCCGCCACGCCGCACAACACTACCAGGAATAGTTTCATTGTGTCGCCCGACCGGAACAATATGACCTCCGAACGCCAAATTACCTCTTTTATTGAACGGAATTATCTTATCGCCGTGATTAAGACAGACTGATTTCAAATATTTATTTACTCTTACTATTTTTTGAATCGGTTTCCTTTGGATCCGTATTTAAACTACATACTAATATATTAAAACGTTAACACACCTTATTACGTGGGGTAAAATATCAGATGTTTTAGAATAATTCTCTCTTTAATAAAAAGCTCTACACTTACGCTATATTTTTAACGCTGTTGAACTTAAGGGGTAACTTGGAAAAAAACCTTCAGGTGGGGTCGTGGTCAAGCGCTGGCTTAACAAACATAAAAAAACTACGAGATGCCAACATTAAGGAAGCAAGTTTATAGCAAGTAATTTTGACATTTGTAACTGAGAATTTGACAAATGTAAACAATAAAATAAGGTTTCTATAAGTTCATGCGGATGAAGCCGTACGGGAACAGCTAGTCGATAATTGTAATGGGAATACCAATACAACGATATCCATTTTAGTTTGTTGTTAAAATTCTAAAATTATTTCTTTTTCTATGGGACTTGGGCCCTGGCAAATATGACATAGTCGGGAAAACCTAATTATATTTTAATCCAGTCAGATATACAGGATTAGAGTAGTGGCAGCGGGAAATGATTAAATAAGATTAACGTTTTCTTTATCAGTTCAAATAATAAACCAATTAATCAAAATTGTCTTCGTGTTATTGAAAACAAATGACAATTTAAATCTCTGTTGCAAGAATAGCAACATTGCTACGAGACAGCAATAAAAAAATGGTAACGGTGATATTGGCGAATGAGCCAGTGACGGCTGGTGACGGGGAGATATGCTCTCGCCTGTGACTCATGGGCATGGGGTGCATTTGTACGTGATTAGTCAGATGTTTTTATCGAAACAAATTGTAGTGATTAATACAATCAATCAGTTGTCATGAAATACATTTAACATATCGCCGCCAGTTGACTGCAGACTTGACCGTGTCACATTAACCTAATTTCATAGTTAGAATTTTTGCACCGACATTTTTAGTACCTACCAAAGTACTTATTGCGGCGTGGACTATATTTCTTTTGGTTTGGTTGATAAATAAATAGTAGGCTGTAGTTGAAAGATATAATGAAATAAAGAAAAAAAAGTAGTTGTAACGTCAAATGTAGTAATTAAGTTTGTGTGGCGGTGTGGCGATGTGGCAACTCGGAGCGCAACTGACGGGCGCGTGTGAGGGTCCCTGCGCGCCTCTTCCCCGCCGGCGGAGTAGTAGAACGCAACAGTACTCTTCATAAAGAACGTTTGTTCTTCTAATGTCGATAACTTAATGAAAAATATCTTATTTAATAGAAACATTTTGTTTACATCACGACATTTTTAGGGTTTAATTATTATGAGTTAGGAATTGCATCGTTGCAGTTCATGAAGGTTATATATAATAGCTAATAAAGATTACATTGGAACACGCCTGGCCCGCTGCGCCGCGCCTGCCGCTACCTATACAACTGCATATTAATCAATCATTACAGTCCCCGTATCTGAACATTCCATATTCCAATATTTATTACAAAGATAAAAAAGTGTAATTCAATGTATTTAATATTGTACAACCACCTTTGAATAACTAAATACAGTTGTGGTAAAAACCTAAACTCTAACAATGCCTTTCAAACTTCGATTAACAATAACAAAACTATTGTTTATCGAAGCTGCCAAAAATAAATCACTTCAAAGCATTTTATTTTCTCCGACAAATAAAATAAAAGTTTACGAGTGTACTCGTAAATTTTTTATGTTTTTACGAAAAGTGAATCTCACAATTCCATTCTAGCGGACATTCGGTCACTTTCAATGCAGAACTAAACTAAACATGACTTATAAACTGTCTTAAAATGAACATTTATTGTTATAATTTAGTTATATTTGCAATAAGCGGCTTGGACTCAGTTTACTCTCAACATTTGAATAATGAAAAAATAAAAGAATTGGAAGCTGAAAAAAACAAATTACATAGTGAAATCGAGGTGGCCATTGACGACGGTCTGCGCGCGTTGCACGAGGAGGCAGGGAGAGGAGGCGCTGGTGCGGGTACGGGGGAGCGCTACCTTACGGCTCTTAAGCTACACTTGCAGCAAGCTAGCGGCGGAGGATCGGTCAACAACGGCAGCAGCGGCGGAAGGCTGGCCAGCAACGGCAACCGTGGTGAGGTTGCGAGCAACGTCACTGGCTGGCAGTTTGCACAGCGCAGCGTATCACATCATACCGCAGTCTCAAATAACACCGCAAATGCAACGAGCTTGAGAAGGTTCGTTAAAAAGAAAAAGAAGAAACGCGGCCCGGACGAGTTAGATGAAATCTTTGTTTATAAAGACGTTTTCGACAAAAAAGATATTGAACCAGAGCAAGGTAAGCTGATGATAGATAACCGATTGAGGTTGGAGAAGAAGTTGTTCGAGTGGATGGTGAAGCGACAGGAGGAAAAGAAGCGGCTAAAGGAGTATCTGGAGAAGAAGCGAGTGCACCTGCTGGAGCTGGTGACGGAGAAGTGTCCGCGCTTCGGCTACGGCAAGAGGACGACCAAGAAGAAGACGCGCCGGAGCGATTCGCTGGACGAGGTAGACGCGTACCGCAAGACGCACCGCAGCCGTCCTAAGTACCCCTGCTGCAGAAAGTGCTGCAAGAAATCTTATTTAGGTTGCTTGTAAAATAGTCTAAGTATCTTAAATTTCAGGTAAACTGACTTCAGAAATCGATAATAACTTTAATTAATCATTTTTTGCGTAGATATCAATTACGTAGATTCACTAATCAAGATATTATGATTAATGAGACATGTTTCTTTCTCTTTGATAGCTAAGATATAAAAACTACGCTCGATTATCTCATAATTATTCATATTATTACCAGCAAAGTCACATTAACGAATTCCTGACCAATATAATACTCGACAAAACTTCTTTGTCCATGAAGAAGCAACGTAGATATATCTTCATGTTTTATGTAAAATAATAAGAAGTGACCGCTGCCCGTATCCTTAATGGACGGAGAAGAAGGACTTAAAGATGATATTTCCCCTTCCTAAGCATCTCCTCCATCATCAAATCTAATTTCCCTCCCCTTTCTTTCATTAAGCCTCCCGCACGTGTACTCATCTGAGCGAGCCTGTACATTTGTGCAAAGATGTTAAAGCGGACTCTACCATTGTTATTGTCAATGATGACTTTCAAACATTCCGTTTCTTAATGTATCTTACATTATGTTACTGGACGTCAGAGCACTTTGCGAACAGCTCCGAGTGTAATACTACGCCGGATTCACACACTACCAGGGTTCCATTAAATGTTTTATAGTCTGGTCGCAATGAAAAAAAGTGTTTAAATTCCGATTTTATCAGTCAGTCTTTGGGTATAATGTAGTGTTACAGCATGCCTGCTAGCACGACGGCGGTCACTCTTTAATACATTTTACGATTTCTGATAAAATGCTTTAAAATTACTTATTTTGTATGAGCATGAGGGAAATGGTGAGCTGGAGCAGACGACGCGACAATCGAGCAAAGTTCCATTTTAAAAACTGCAATTATTGCCGATGACATGGATTTGTGGGTGGTATGTTTTATTTTTTACCTTTCAACATGAACAAATTAACAAACTACCAAATTGTAGCTATTGCACTCAAAGGGCAATTGTATTAACAATAGCAGTGATTACGTCATGTCACAGAGCGTGCTGACTGCGCTGGCCGCTGTCGCTGTCGCGGCGTCCTCTGCCGCGCTTCACGCAGGTGCAGAAGGTGAGCTCCTACTTACACGTATGCACGTTTTCTTCGCCCCAAATAATTACATTAATCACGGACTGAGATAATCCAAGAGGGTCCCTCATTTCTCATTTACCAGACATTAAACCGTAAGACAATGTGTCAATTGCGGTTCGTATCTACAGTATCCAATAAAGTAATCACGAAATGTATTAATCTTCAGCGTTTAAAGGTGAGGAATATAATTCGTCGGAAGTGGTA